CTAGATCTGTAGATGAGTATATTAGTAAGTCTTGTAGGAGGAGCGCAGGCCTAGATATCTAGTTAGATCTAATCTAGATTATATAGAGTCTATATCCTATATCTAGAATCTAGATCGAGATCTAGATCATCATCTCTAAGACAAGATCTCTATTTTAAACAGAAAACTCACCTTGGTTTATGAATAAACCCATGTAAGATATAAACACAACAAAACTCAGTTTCGTGGGGAACAACTCTGCTGAAAACAAAGCCATGTTGTTCTGCGCGAGGTGTAGCCAACTCCAAACCGCTGGTGAGAAAACTGTGAAGAGATAAGCGAGGGGTGCGACACTCTCTGTTTATTGTGACTGACCACTGGCTGTGATGGTGAAGACAGAGCATTCCACCTTTCCTGTTTCCAACAGACGCGCGATGATCTCCCCTTGTGGCGCGGCTCCGTACTTTGAGGATGTGGCAAGGCGCTCTCGTACTGGTACTGGTAGTCAGTGCTGGGCCTGTGTGTGTCACTCTGTGTGTCACTCTCGTGCTGTCAGTCCTCTGTGTGTCATTCTCGTGCTGTCAGTCCTCTGTGTGTCACTCTGTGTGTCACTCTGTGTGTCACTCTGTGTGTCACTCTCGTGCTGTCAGTCCTCTGTGTGTCACTCTGTGTGTCACTCTCGTGCTGTCAGTCCTCTGAGTGTCACTCTGTGTGTCACTCTCGTGCTGGGCCTGTGTGTGTCACTCTCGTGCTGTCAGTCCTCTGTGTGTCACTCTCGTGCTGGGCCTGTGTGTGTCACTCTCGTGCTGTCAGTCCTCTGTGTGTCACTCTCGTGCTGGGCCTGTGTGTGTCACTCTCGTGCTGGGCCTGTGTGTGTCACTCTCGTGCTGGGCCTGTGTGTGTCACTCTCGTGCTGGGCCTGTGTGTGTCACTTTCGTGCTGGGCCTGTGTGTGTCACTCTCGTGCTGGGCCTGTGTGTGTCACTCTCGTGCTGGGCCTGTGTGTGTCACTGTCGTGCTAAGTGCAGGGCCCACAATGTACACTATAGATGGAAAGACCTCACAGCACCATAACCTCCTTGGTGCACGTGCACGCGGCTTGTTGGGAGAGAGACTATTATAGGCTCATTTACATACTATATATAGATCTATATGTAGATTCTATTGGAAACTATGGACCTTTTAGTAAGCTTTTTTTTGGGTTTTTTTTTTATCCCGTGCCCTGATTTTGATGCCGATATTTGTAAGTTTACGTAAAAATGTGCCAACATGGTACTAATTGTTATGCTTCAAGAAAAACAAAACAAAAAAGGGCGAATTGTTATCTCTCTCTCTCTCTCTCTCTCTCTCTCTCTCTCTCTCTCTCTCTCTCTCTCTCTCTCTCTCTCTCTCTCTCTCTCTCTCTCTCTTCGTAAATGTTTTACAGCACTCACAACTCTACACAGGACACAAATTAATGTGATATAGTGTCCTACTATAGACTATACCCCAAAAAAAAATGACTCATCACTTGTCGGAGAACGTCAATGAACGTTTAATGATTCAACGAGGGGTAGCCTACAAGTGATGACTACTGACCACTGCAACTGACGTGAAATAGAAGACACAAGACAGGGATGGAGAACGGAATGAAGGAAGACACAAGACAGGGATGGAGAACGGAATGAAGGAAGACACAAGAGAGTGATGGAGAACGGAATGAAGGAAGACACAAGACAGTGATGGAGAACGGAATGAAGGAAGACACAGGACAGTGATGGAGAACGGAATGAAGGAAGACACAAGACAGTGATGGAGAACGGAATTAAGGAAGACACAAGACAGTGGTGGAGAACGGAATGAAGGAAGACACAAGACAGTGATTTAGAACGGAAACAAGGAAGACATAAGGCAGTGATGGAGAACAGAATGAAAGAAGACACAAGACAGGGATGCAGAACGGAATGGAGGAAGACACAAGACAGGGATGTAGAACGGAATGAAGGAAGACACAAGACAGTGATGTAGAACGGAATGAAGGAAGACACAAGAGGACAAGACAGGGATGTAGAACGGAATGAAGGAAGACACAAGAGGACAAGACAGGGATGTAGAACGGAATGAAGGAAGACACAAGACAGGGATGGAGAACGGAATGAAGGAAGACACAAGACAGGGATGGAGAACGGAATGAAGGAAGACACAAGACAGGGATGGAGAACGGAATGAAGGAAGACACAAGACAGGGATGGAGAACGGAATGAAGGAAGACACAAGACAGGGATGGAGAACGGAATGAAGGAAGACACAAGACAGGGATGGAGAACGGAATGAAGGAAGACACAAGACAGGGATGGAGAACGGAATGAATGAATAATGAGTGACCGCACTGACAAAAGAAACTACACACATGGGTCCCCAAGGGGCGCAGGGTGGTGATGATGATAGGACATGATGAGTAGCACTAATAATACAGCTAAAATACACTGGACACAAATGTCCTCAGGTGTCCTACAATACACTGGACACAAATGTCCTCAAGTGTCCTACAATACACATGACGTAAATGTTCTATAGATCCAAGGTCCTATTATACACAGGATCTGTGACAGGACACAAAAGTCCTATAATGTCCTACTATACAAAAGTCCTACAGTGTCCTACTACATGACACAAATGTCTTACAGTGTCCTACTATATGACACAGATGTCTTACAGTGTCCTACTACACACAGACACAAATGTCTTACAGTGTCCTACTACACACAGACACGAATGTCCTACAGTGTCCTACTGTACACAGACACAAATGTCTTACAGTGTCCTACTACAGGACACAGATGTCCTACAATGTCCTACTATACACAAGACACAAATGTCCTACTACATACAGACACAAATGTCCTACAATGTCCTGCTATACAGACACAAATGACCCACAAGGTCCTACTACAGGACACAGATGTCCTACAATGTCCTACTATACACAAGACACAAATGTCCTACTACATACAGACACAAATGTCCTACAATGTCCTGCTATACAGACACAAATGACCCACAAGGTCCTACTACAGGACACAGATGTCCTACAATGTCCTACTATACACAAGACACAAATGTCCTACTATACACATACACAAATGTCCTACAATGTCCTGCTATACACAGACACAAATGTCCTACTATACACATACACAAATGTCCTACAATGTCCTGCTATACACATACACAAATGTCCTACTAAACACATACACAAATGTCCTATAATGTCTTACTATACACAAGACACAAATGTCCTACAATGTCCTACTACGGTACCTCTAGACAGCGCGAGCTGTGACGAGAAGACCTGGCCACGACTAGCAGCTCAGTCCCCCAGCCGTCTGCTCTTTGTCCATGTTTTCACGGCGCACCCGTCGTCCCCACATCTCCGTGTCACCTCCCGTTTTTGTCCCACATCTCCGTGTCACTTCCCCTTTTCGTCCCCACATCTCCGTGTCACTTCCCCTTTTCCTCCCCACATCTCCGTGTCACTTCCCCTTTTTGTCCCACATCTCCGTGTCACCTCCCCTTTTCGTCCCACATCTCCGTGTCACTTCCCCTTTTCGTCCCACCACATTAATTGTAACAGAATGTAAGTCTAACCGATTACCATTCGATACCTAATCT